GAACCTGACTTATTATAGAGTATGTTTATTTATTATTATTTTTATATACTTTCAGATAGCTAATGGGTTGGTGCAAACTACTGGCTGGCCGAGTGTCGTTACATGTATTGGCAACTGGTTTGGAAAAGGAAGGTAAATAATATGTAATCCAAAGTTTTGGAAATACAAATCGACACATTCTGTGCTGTAATATTATAGTCAATTTAAATATCTTTCTTTTGCTTCAGTGTTTTTTTGGGATGAAACAAGCAGTTAGGTAGATCTTTGAGAGGAGTTTCCTTTACTATGCTGATTAGTTTATATATTGGTTTGAAATATTCTCTCTCATGTCAAAACTGTGTTCTGTGGTAGCTCTTTAGTCTGATGTTTAATTTTTCAGGTGAAATATTTCAGAATTGAATTAAGAATAATTCTTGCAAATATTAACAGTGTAAAACCACTTCTAACAAAGGCTGTTATGGCATTTTAATGTGGAATTTCCTGTGTTTTCATTTGTGTTTCAAAGCAGTTGTCAGGGTGTAACTCTAAAAGTATCTTTTTGTCTAATGTCTTTTTTTCTAACACACTTACAGAAACTTGAAAATTTAATTAAAAAAAGAAAATATATATGGCAACTGATTTAACCTTTCTTTTTGTCACTTTCTTTAAATAATCTCTTTTTTTTTTTTTCCCTTTAATCCTGCATGGAGATCACTCATTTATTTTGTCATACTGTACAGGAGTTTTCCATACATTTTGCAAGAGCTGCATGCTAAATCCATTGGCTCTGGTAATGGTTGATGCATGTAGCGTATAGTAATGCTACTGCAGTGCCATCCATTGTAGATACATACCATTGAATGATCATTATTGTCACAGTTCAAGAGAAGGGCATATGAAAATTAAGTATATGCTTTCTGTATAAAGTCACAGGATAGTTAAGAAGATCTAGGCTCAACTAGTTTTCCATAGTCCCTGCAGCCTTTTGGTGAATGTTACAAAATGCAGAGAATGATAACCATCATACAATACTGAACACAACTGGCGAGTCTGTGCAAAACAAATACATCTATTCAGATTTTTTTCGTGTGCAAAAGCAACAGCCTTTACTTTTAGGAGGCTGCATAGTGGACTGGTGGATAGGGCTGTGGTTTGAATGTCAGTGATCTGGTTCTTGTTTTCATTTTGTTACAAATTCTGTGAAACATGAGCAGACCTTTTAAGATTTGTCTTCAGCCAAAGGAAACCATTTTAGTTCAGTTCAAATTAGGTTGCACCAGGTAAACTCCTGCTGAGGGCAAGGCAGTTTTCCCATGACTTACGAGGAAAAAAAAAACCCTTCTAACTGTCATGACTTCAGTAGGATTTTTTGTGGTTTACATTAGCTCAGCTGGAGCTATTCTACAGCAGCTCTAGTCTGGGATTTCCAGGCAGACAGCAGTTTGATGTGCCTGTTAGCCAAGCTTGCGCAGGTGTTACCTTCTGCTAGTGCCTATCAAGTCCAGAATGTGGTCAGAAAATACTGAATTTGCTCTACCTATCCTGTACAGATTGTTTTCTTCTGCGTGGTAAGTCTAACATATCCTGAAAGCATCAGATTATCGGTGCTATGTGTTTGCAGGAGGACTTTCATTCCCAGAAGCATTGGACTTAGTGTGCACATGCTATGCAACATCTGCATACCTGTTTTTATCGAAGAAACTCTATCCAGAAATATGCAAGCCCTAGTGGTGCCTTTAAATGCCATTAAGTGCAGGATGAGTTCTGCCATGCACAGAGAAGTATTTAGAACACTTCTATTAATATTTAGGTGCCTTGACATTGCCAGATGAAAGACTAACATAATGAAGTGGTCAGTTAAAGAACAATAAGATTGCAAATATTTCACTAACACCACAGATGAACAGTCATTTTTGATACACTTTTCTCAAGATAGCAGTGCTTATTGTTGGAATAATAAGAAATGTTTGTGGGTTGTTTTTTTTAAATGCAGGAGAGGTTTGATCATGGGAATCTGGAATTCACACACTTCAGTGGGAAATATCTTGGGATCCTTAATTGCTGCTTATTGGGTGTCTACGTGCTGGGGTCTCTCCTTCGTGATGCCTGGTGTTATCATTGCTGTGATGGGGATTGTTTGTTTCCTGTTTCTTATTGAACGTAAGTGCTTTAATGGGATAGAACCATGGAAGGCTCATTATGGGTGAAGAACACCAGCTGTTTAAGCTAAATGACCCAGTGCAAAGTATATTCCTTAAGCTATGCCAATACTTAAAGAACTTCTTCCTAGAACACTAGGTGAAGAAGAACCTGTGTAAATCTAAAGAGTTTATACGCTCAGACTCTGGCATACCTGGGAGAGTAACACTTCAGAATTCAGTCCACTGCCCTGTCATTACTTCCCCGTCTTTATAAATTGTTCAAGTGTATCTTAGCAGAATGTCCCGCCTGGCTGCAATGTATATTCTGCGCTACCGTTCAACCCATGCCATCCATATTCTGTGCTATGAAATACAGAAATCAGCTGATAGAGCAAGTTTTGACACTTTAAATTAGAAATTAAAAAGGAATGCCCCGTCTTGTCCCTATGTAGACTCAGAGATACTAGTATGAATGCTTATTTCACTGTATCTGTCCTATCTCGGGAAGTAAAAAGTTCTGCCGATATAACTAGAATGCTGTAATGAGCTGGACTGCCAGAATAGCACTTAATGTGGTCATAGGATGGGAAGGGTACCATGGAGCACCCTTTTCTTTTTCTCTAAAGCTACAGTTACACATTTCTACCAGGACTACTTCTGTGTTATCTGTACTGTTGGTTTATTGTCGGTAAATTACACTACTGGTAAGTGTTTTAAGAGATACTAATTATGCTTGTTTTCACTATTAACTATGCGTGGTATTGTATTTCAGATCCTAAAGATATAAGTTGCTCCTGCACACCATCCAGTGTAAGTGAATGCTTTTTCTATTTTAATTTTTCCTCCTAATACACATGTTTATTATGATAGTTCTGGAAATCAGATAATCTGCGTGGCCCTTTCGTGCCAGGCTGTTATAACTGACCCTATACTTGAGGGAATGATTGGTCTTCTGTGCTTCACTGGTAAACCAGTAGCTTACTTTCTATCAAAGCAATATGAATCAAGACGTGAATGAGTTTGTTTTAATCAAAGTTTTGGAATAGATGATCTTAGTACAGTAAACCAAGTAAAAATTGTTTGGTTTTTTTTTTGGGGGGGGGTTGAGTTTTCTTACTTTCCTCCAGTCTTCCTGGGCATCTTCAGAGCATTTTGACCTATCTCCTGCTGTTGCCTGCCTTGTTTAGGTATGGCATAATGGGATAGCTGCCAACCATATCCTGTGAAGGGTCTCACTGTTGAGAACCCCATTACAGAAAGAGCAAATAGCCCTTTTGCTGGCATAGTGTCAATGAACCATGCATCTGTGGGCTTGGGGATGGAAGGTGGGATCTTCCCTTGGATAGAGGTAAGGACAGTAGCAGCACATGGCTAGGGAAAAGAGGAAGCAAGGGGTGAGCTGAGGTGAAGAGGTTGGAGCAAACAGTGAGTTTAGTCATGATATAACATGGCCTTTATTTAACCAAAACTGACATTAATGAAGAGCTGTGAAAAGGAGAGAGAAATAATCTGTGCTTAGTGGTATGGGTCACATGACAAATCAATGCTTTAGTTTTTGTGGTGTCACAGAGTAATTTAGGTTGGAAGGGATGGGACCTCTGGACGTTGTATGGTCCTACCCTCTGCTTGTAGTAGGTCTAAATTTGACATAGGATCAAATTGCTTAGGGCTTGCCTGTCAAATTTTGAAATCCTCAAGGATGGAGATGCTGTTTATACATAGATGATGGGATTTTTTTAAATATACAGTGAGATTTTAGAACGCATTGATTACATGTTTTACTGGCATCAAGGCAGTGGATCTTGCTATTGTATGAGAGCTTATACTTCAAGGGCTTCAATTTTGGCAAGGTAGTGAACTTCACTAAGCTGTAAATATACTCACACACACACACAAACTGTGGAATGCATACTGCCTGGATCACAAGGGTAAATGCGACTCTCTTGACACAAGAGTTTGAAAATCCAGCATCAGAGATTGACCACTTAAGGCATTTTGAAGCAGGATTGAAGTGTATGTGTGCAAATGTCTAAGCTTTCTTTGGGTTGCTGAACATTACGTGTATACTTCCTTGTGCCATTGTGGCAGCAAAACTCATAACTTTTTTGTTGTTGCTAAAAGGAAAGCTTTCTCTTTAAGTATTAGTATAAGGTTGCTCAAACACTATTTTAAATGTAGGTTGGAAGTGATTAAGCTCTGCTACCAAGATGTTTGCTCAACGCTTTTGAAACAAAAGTTCGTAAGACGTTTTATGTACTCAAAATTAAGTAATGTAGAAAGCCGTGTCAATGGCGAAAAGATGTGCCTTAGAAAGCTTTAGCTACTATGTGAGAAGATGATTCCTTTCTTGCCTCATGTAGCAGTGACCCAAGAGGAGGGAGGCAATCCAAACAGAACAAGAGAAAAATAAAAAGCAAGGAAAGGGAACAAAAAAGAGAGCATTAGGAAGAGCAGCTGTGTATAACTTCTCGTAACAGAATGTCATTTGTAGCCCAGTTTCGTTTAGGAGTGTGTTTGCAGGTTCATCTCTATTTCATGTTGCATAAGACTCTGGTATGCGTTTGTCTCTACTGTAACCAAAACCTAGAGCAGCGTGTTACTCCAGGCTGTTTGTCTTTTGGCTCCCAGGGACCTGTGGGCAATCAGGTCTGCCACATTTTCAGCTAGTTCTTCGGAAGAATAGTAGGGGGAGATTGGCAAAGAAGGTCTTAAGGTTTCCCGTGTGTGAGGGCAAATCAGGGCTGTTGGGGAAAGTGTCAGAGGGAAGGTCCCAAGGGAATCCCACATTTGTTTTCCAATGCTAGGGGATTGTACACGGAGATTGTCTGCACATGTAGGTGCATGTGAACTATACCTTTCAGTTGCAAGTCTCGCAGGTAGATTGTACAGGGATGATTGCTGTTTTTTTACCACCCCCCCCAATAGTTTCAGATAGATGGCTTTTTACATTTTTAAATGCTCTCTTCTTGAATAGTAACTGAAGGCAACTTTTCTAGTCTGTGTTATCTCTTCTTTACCAGTTAATGGGTTTTTTCTCCTCATATGAAGTAGTCCTGATAAAGCTTCTGAATACTTTTAATGGTCTGGAAATCCTATTCTTAGTTTGTTACTGTGAGATAAGGTGTGGTCACAATATGCTCTGTATTTTTCATTTAATTCTCTTTCATTTCTTAAAGGTAACTTCTGTCAAGTATGAGAATATTTTAAGTGACTCTTAGAGACTCCTCACAGGAGGCATTTTTTTCCTTAGCTTTTATGTAGTTCAGAAATGCTCCCATGAACGTTTCAGCTGCTGTTTATAATACCTAGAGCATAATGTTTACAGAATTTGCTGTTAAGCTTTATGGATGTAAATGTTTGTTATTTGTTTCAAATACACTTTTACTGGAAAGCATAACTAAAGAGTTCTGCATAGTATGTTGCTTGTATGTCTCGAGGAGCTGGCATGGAAAAATTTGACATTCAATTTCTACTTGCCGTGTTATTTTTAACAAAAATTTAGTATTTTAGGAGCTTTTTTCCCCTTCCATTCACTACCCTTTCTCCCAGTCCCAGAAAAGGGCTAGCATTTGATCTAATCTTCTCTAGGACACCAGCAAGATCACTGCTCCAGGCGCAGTCTCATTTTGTAGGGATGCATTTGACCTTGTTTCCTTGGAAACCTTGCTCTCCAGAGGAAAAGGCATCACTTCTTCCTGCCCTATTCCATATATTCATAGCTGCAAATCTTGTAGGAGTTCTATAAAAGTGCTTCCCCACCTGCCTTGGACCCTTCTTAGATTAAGATTCGCCATTGTCTTGGGAAGCTGTATGCCATCTGAATTGCTCAGATACCTCTCTTCAGACCTGTGTGGTCTGCAAAGTACAATGGATTCTAAATCCTTAATGAATAGGGCTCACACCTTCCGTTTGCTGTGGGGAGGGTGGTTTTAGAAGTTAAGGAAATTGATAAGAATAGAAGTTCAAGAAGATCTCCTACAAATGCAAATGTGCTAATGACAGTGTCTGACTGTAAATAAAAACTGATTTCTAATTGAGGGAAGGTTCATGTCGTAAAATAGACTGTGTTACTACTGGGAACAAAAACTTCCAGCCGTCTTGTACAAGGGGTAGAATTTGCTGGCAGGCATAGAATGCTAGCTCTCCTTTTTTGCTCAGTCATTTCAATGACAACCTGAACAACCTGTGTGCTTCTACAAATAGTTATAAATGTTTTTTCGAAGACACTAAAGAAACATACGCACTTGCTTTGCTCATAAGGCTGTAGTAGGTCACTTTGGACAGATGTCTTGGCTAGGTGCAGGCAGCTCTGCCAGCTGGTGCCAAAAGCTGAACCTCATTGTGGAAGAATGAGGCCAGTTAAATTTAAGCACAACTAAAATAAATGCTGAACATGAGGGAAGGACTTCGGGTAGATTTATATTAAGATTTATAGATCAGATTCATCTCTGTGTGATATCACTATCTTGGATGAATTTGGTCTACTGTTTATTTGCAGCATGATTGTGAGCCCAATATTTCTACAGAGTTTGTAGTTGTGAGTAATCTGATTTCATTGAGTTGTCCAGAAGCACAGACGGAGAGCCAGGCACAGAGCCTTGAATGCGTGGTTCTTATTCTTTATTCACCAATTTCTTTGGCTGTGCTTCATTTGCCTGTATTCACCTTGGCTCTGATTTACGAATCTGAAATTTGTTTCAAAACAAATATTTGAGTACAATAAAGTGCTTTTAAATGCTAGCATTGGAGGCTTAATCTATGACTTTCCAAAAGGCTATACCTATGACAAATGCAAGCGAGAAGTCAGTGTGCTTTATTAAGCATTGGTGCACTTTCATAATGAAAGTTAAAGAGTAGATTTAACGGCATTTGTGAAATGTGATGATTTAGAACTGTTTTTATTGCTTCTCATCTTTTCTCCCTGTACCTTTTTTTTTTTTTTAAATAAGTAAACATGTTAGTTGCAGCGTGTTCATACAGACCTGTCTTTATGTTCTAGGAACTTTCTTTAACCTGACTTTGCATTTCCAGGAAACTTAGCTCTCTTAAACTCCTGTGGCAAAGTGCTTGTGCATTTAAAAGATACCAGGCTGCAATTTTTATCTTCTGAAAAGGAGAAAGAGGTCTAAGTATTAAATGTGCAGCCTCTCAGTCTAGTCCTTTTCCCCAGACATTTCCTCCTTACCACAGTAAATCTTATTTTTGACAGTCAAATGAAAAAGTCTTTCACTTTTTATCTGCTGAGCTGCTGAATAAAGATGTGATGACTTGTCTCTAGATAATGGATTTTCTTCCCCACAGATTATTGTAAATCACTTTTCTGACAAGAGCCTAATTTTCTGTAAGATAAAATTGAAAAATATGTTTTATCAGACCCTGGGGGTTTGAGTGTTGTTTGTTTATTTTGGGGAATGCGTGCTCAAGACTGCTTGTGCCTCAGCTCACAAGCAGTGAGTGTCTTCTGCTCAGAACAGCAGAAATACTTTAGTTTATCTTCAGAAGCTTTTTGCCTTTTTAGAAGGATTTGGTTGATGGATGGCAGTTTGTCTAAAGAATACTGCAATACATATCCTTGTATTTTTGTTGGGGAAGAATTACCTAGTGATTCATCTTGAATTAAAATGTTCAGTGAGGATGGGCATTCTTTTTTTTTATTTGCGGGGTGGGTTTTGGGGGGTTTATTTGGGGCAGGGTTTGGGTTTTTTGTTTTATTTTGTTTTTTTAATGTGACAGCCAGAGTGTGATTAGGCACTTAAACAAACATCTCATCCCTGAGGAATGCACAGTGCCTCTTGTGGTCTTAGCAATAGGTTGTCCCTACCTGACTGCAAACCTACTTTGAAGCTGTATATTTAATTTGGCGGACAAACCTTAATGTCCCTGGCAAATCTCTTTAGACCAAGTATCTCAGAATGATGTTTTCCGGTGAATGCAATTTTGGTGTGAGCTGATACACTAATGTACTTGTTAATAAGTAAGTATAAAAAGCAGGTCCATCTGGTGCCTAAAATATAGCTTGTTGCCTCGATTTCGGTACTGAGCATGCTGGAGGTGCTCAGACTCTTCATTAACCCTCATCCCCACAAGAGCACAGTCCATTTCTGGGTTAGAAGAATATAGTGAGCATAAGCTAAAGGGATGAACTTTTATCGTAAAGGGGTAGGGAAGAGAAGAATCAAGGTTTTCCTGAAACAAATCAACTTCTGTAATTGCTACTAGGATCATCTGCTTATGAGAAAAAACTAAGTTTGCAATGTCAATGAAAGTTCGGTAGAGGAAAAAGCAGCTAAAGATGGTAAGAATGGCATGACTGTGCTCTGAATTCAGTATGCTCTTTCTGTATAAAAACAGTATGAAGTTAGCCTTCAAATAAATTTGTGGTTGCATTTTACGTACATTGCCGTAGGTGTGCATAAGAACTTTAAAAACCAAAAATACACAGTCATTAAATTAAAGATGCTTCATTTGGGGTTATGTTTATGTTACAATGCACAAAGACTTTTGTTGCAGAGAAATTATTAACACTAATGTAGTCCTTTAAAAAACAAGCAACAAAAGTATGGGGTTTTGTTTTGTTTTTTTCAGAGTTCTAAAACCTTCCTGAATGGTGCATCTCGATTCAAAGTCCAGATGCCGACCTTAAATGCTAAGGAAACCAGCAAACCTCAGGTAAAATATAACGTATTGTTGTAAAATAGTATAGAAGACTTCCTAATGCTCACATGGAATGTTTACAGTAGATTTCATATTGGTAAAGATTGCTCTTCCTTTTATTATGCTGAAATCTACTTCCATCTTCATACAAAAATTTAACTTCAGATGAGGGAACTAAGCATTATCTAACATAAATACTGCAAACCGAGCTGAATAAGATACCATGCTTTCTCAGTTGGTCTTGTGATTTTCATACAATTCCAGCAAAAGTAATGCACTGCAAAATATTTTAAAGATAGCCCATTTGAAATCTTTAAACTACTTGTATCGTGTTTGTCCCCTCCTTGCAGTCTCACTTCTCTTCCTTTTTAATGTAATAGATGTACTTAGGAGATTATACAGTTTAGACAGTTCTAAATATGAGCAATTATTCACAGAAATCCTGCTTAAAATTGTACTGTAAGTGCTGGTAATTCTCACTGGAAACTGAATTCTGGATTTGCCCATTTGTGGGCAAAAAGACGTTTTATCTTGTGATGGACATTAACTGAAAATCTCCATTTGAAATTTTGTATTTGTATTCAGTACACTTGGCACATCATATCCTGAGAGGATAACTTTTTTTTAAAACTTCTTTTAGACTTTTACAGGAAAACAGAAACTTCCTGTTCTTTTTATCCTTTGCCCCTACAATAATAATCGGCATTCACAGGGTATAATAATCAGTGTGGATGAAAAGGCTTTGACATTTTTGTTAAGGATACACTGCACTCATAATTTTTTATCAGTCCAGCTTAAATCCCCTCTGTACTGAGTTTATTCATGTTCATTTTGAGCTGCCCAAGAACAGTCTCCGGCCTGGAAACCATTTGTCAATATTATTTCACAACCAGCTAGAAGATAAAGGGAGAAGGTGTAAAAATATCAGTAGGTGTCTTTGGACAAGTCATGAAGACAATTAAAATATAGTCAGCAAATTAGTAGACAAATATTTCTCTTCTAACTCTGCTAGTAACTAATTGGCACTCTTGCTGTCAGCCTGCGCAGGGAGTCTGCACAGCAAGTGGGCAAGGAAGACGTAGCCCCTCTCACACTGACTGGTGCTCCCTTGTGAGCAGGACAGAGAGACAATGCGGACAACAAAGCACGAGGGCACCTGCTGGCAATCCTGTCAATATTCCTTTTTTTCTTTTGTTCTCCACCCCACCAGCTGGGTTCTACGTTTGTAGTGTGGAATCCTAACAAGGCTTTAAGAAGGAATTAATAAAAAAATAAAAATCCTTGTCACTGTTTGGGACCCCCCCTGATTTTCTGCCAGTGACAAAAGATAATCTTTTTCCCGTCAAAGTGGAGTTGAACATCTTTCCTTTTTACAGTGGTTGTATGCTGAGCTGATTATCGCAGTCAGCTTTTGTGCCTGTACAAACAACAGATGTTTTGCATTTATGAGCTCGTCTCCTCCAAGCACGCCGGAATGGCAGCTTTTACTGATTTTTCATTGACCTCCACAATTACTGTAAAAAGAAAGCAAATATTCAGGATGTGCAATGATTGAAAGCAGAATGTGTTTTTGGCTGCGTGACCTGAATACCTCCATGTGTTCATTACTGCTTATATCAGGTTGGCCTCTTAAAAATTACACAAAATCAAGGGATAATGAATCCTTCCCCAGAGATCAAGTCTGCCATATGCCTAATCATACTCTATGACAAGCTGGCAAGGCTGAACAATGTTATCTCTGCCAAACACAAACTGCTGGTTTTATTTATCATTTAGCTATGTGCAGTATAAAAATCCCATATTGTCGATAAAAGTTTCCAGCAACAGTTGCTAAATAAGTTATTTGGACTTTGGTCACTTCCACGTCAATATTTAACCCTCTCTTCTTAAATAAGGTTGGAGCTACCTGTCTGAGAAGTGAGCAGCGTTACCTCAGACGATCCTGGTTAGGGTTGTGCACATTGTGCAAGAGATATTCGTTTAAGACACTATCTAGACATGTCTTCCATTGAATCCAGTGGGGAGCTTCACTGCTTAAGCCCTTTTTTTTCCTCTCTTTGTCCCTCCTTTTTTTTTTTTTTTTTGGCCCCTTTTTTTT